ACCCCTGGCACCCGTCCCAGCCCGTTCCACCCAACAGACCCCACGGATCCCATCCATCCCACAGATCCCATCCACCCCATGGATCCCATCCCATGGATCCCGTCCCATGAATCCCATCCCATGGATCCCGTCCCATGAATCCCATCCCATGGATCCCGTCCCATGAATCCCATCCCATGGATCCCATCCCATGGATCCCACCCCATGGCTCCCATCCCACGGATCCCACCCCACCCCAGGGATCCCCCCACCTCACCCCTCCCCTCCCGCTCCCCTCAGGTCCCCTCACTCCCAAGAACGTGTCGGTGGTGGCGGGCACCGACCTGGTCCTGACGTGTCGCCTGGGCTCCAACCTGGCCCGCGCCCTCTGGACCTTCGACGGCCGAGCCCTGGCGGCCGAGCAGGTTCTGGTGCTGGGCGAGTCGCGGCTGCGGGCGCTGGTGGTGCCGGCGGCGGGGGCTCAGCACAGCGGCACGTACCGCTGCCTGGCCGAGGAGCAGGGCGCCCTGCTGCCGGCCCAGGAGTACCGCGTGGCCGTGCTGCCCGGCCCGGGGGCTCCGCTGGAGACTCGGGCGCCGCTGGAGAGCCTGGGCGCCGTGTGGGTGCTGGCCGTGTGCCTGGGCGCCCTGTGCCTGCTGCTGCTGCTGGCCGTGCTGTCGCTGTGGCGCCGGCTGCGCCACGAGCTGGGCAAAGCCACCAAAGCCATCGAGAGCACCCTGGTGTACCCCATCGAGCTGCCCAAAGAGCCGCCCAGCCCTCGCTTCGCCTCCAGCGCCGCCTCCGACTCGGACGAGAAGCTTTGGGATCCCTCCAGTTATTACTACTCGGACGGATCGCTCAAGATCGTGCCCGGCCACGCCAGCACGGCCGGCGGCGCCTGCTGCCGCAACGGCGGCCCCGGGGCCGGCTCGCCGCCCGCCGCCATCCCCGGGCAGCCGCTGCATTCGCCCACCCGCATCCACCTGGGCCCCCTGCGCGGCTCGGCCTCCAACGGCTACATCCGGCTGGCGCTGGGCGCCGAGGAGCGGCCGGCCTGCGCAGAGCTGGCCGAGGAGCTGCGGAGAAAGCTGCAGCAGCGCCAGCCCCTGCCCGACTCCAACCCCGAGGAGTCGTCGGTGTGAGCGGCGCCCGCCCCGGCGCCGGGAGAGCGGATGGACGCCCGGAACCGGTACCGGGGCAGGATTGGCACCCTGGAACCGGTACCGGGGCAGGATTGGCACCCAGGACAGGATTGTCACCCCAGCACCCACCCTGGGGACAGGATGGGCACGCTGGGACCTGCCCTGGGGACAGCGGTGTCACCCCAGTGCTCAGCTTGGCACTGGACCTGCCCTGGGGACAGGATTGTCACCCCAGTACCTGCCCTGGGGACAGTGGTGTCACCCCTGTGCCCACCTTGGGGTCTGACAGGCTGGCACCGGTGCCCACCTTGGGGACAGGACTGTCACCTGGCACCGGTGTCTGCCTTGCGGGTGACACCCACCCTTGGGGACAGGATCGCGGTACCTGCCCTGTGGGGACAGGGCTGTCACCCTGGCCCTGTCCCCTCCCCGGGGACACCGCTGTCACCCGGGGCCGTGCCACCGTGTCACCGCGGGCTCCCGGTGCCCACCCCCGCCTTCGGTACCGTGTCCCCATGGAGGGACAGACTTGGGGACACCCCGGGCCGGTGCCCTCGGGACGTTTTTTTGGGCTGATTTCGGGTTTTTTCTTCCTGACAACTTTTCTATCTCCAAACCCCCCTCCCCCTCCGTGTCCCCTCTGTCCCCTCCCTCCCCGCCTGTCCCCCCCTGCACGCCCCCTCCCCTTTTGTATAACCCCCCCCAGTGTAATTTATTTGTTACCGAAATATATTTATTTGCTGTAAATACGTGAGTATTTTTATATTAATAATAAAACGACTTCCAAAAAAAAAAAAAAAAAACCCAAAAAAACCAAAACCCGACAAATCTCGGATTTATTTTTTTTTTCCCTTTTTCTCTCTCTCTCCGCGGAGGTTCTGGGGGGGCTCTGGGGGGGTTTTTTGGGCTCCCCCCGGTGCTGAGCTCATGGAAAAAGCTCCGGCGGGGCTAAAAATGGGCAAAGCGGAGCCGTTCCCAGGCGCTGCCGGCTCCCCCCGGGCCCTCCCCGGATGCCGGGGGGCAGCGAGGGGGGGTCCCCGGGGAGGCTCTGCTGGGAAAAGGGCAGGAAATGGGGTCGGGGGGGCTGGGAATGGGATCGGGGGGCTGGGAATGGGATCGGGG